GGAGGAGGAGGAGAGGGGGAGAAGGGAAAGTTGATGGCCCTTTCCCTCGGTAGAAAGTCTCACTTTGAGAGAAATATCGCTCGAGGTGAAGACCCCGCTGGAGGAGGAGGAAGAAGGCGAGGAGGTACTGGTGGTATCCCGTGGATGCAGGGTGGGAGGAAAAGTGGGCGGAAGGGAAGGAGAATGGGGCAGGGAGGCGACTCCGCTTGGAGGCGGATGGGGGAAGGCCAGAGGCCGGAGGGGAAGGCAGCTCGGGACGGGAGGAGGCAGGGTGAGATGGCAAGAAGAGGAGGGGGAAGGAGGGGAGGAGGAGAAGGTCTGAAAAGAGGAGACGGACGAATGGTAGGAGAGCCCCGAGGCGGACGAGGGCGAGGAGGATACGATTTCTCTCCCCTCTCCCGCCAAGGACTCCCACTGCATGTCAGTCCGGCTCCCGTCTACTCCTCCCCCACACCGCCCGCCAGGGCCCTTCTCTCCTTCCTCGCTGCCTTCCCACCTCCGCTGGGGCGTGGGAAGTTTCTTGAGGGGGGGATGGCACGACGAGGACGAGGCAACGGAGGAGGGAGAAGGCATAGAGGGGTCGCCTCGGTGGGCTGGTGAGAGGGAGGGCAGGAGGGAGGTGGATTCAGGGGGTGGAAGCGGGGGCAGCAGGGAGGGAAACTCCCGCCTGATCCTCTCGTATTCCGTCACGTCCTCCACCACCGCCTGCTCCCCTCCGACAACCCGCCTGGAGTCCCGCGCCCCGACCCTCCCTCCCTCCCTCCCTTCCTCCCGCACCCCGACTGGGACGTCGTGGAAGCCGAGAGGGATCAGGCGCAGGATGAGGGTTTGCACCACATCCTCGCTGCTGTGCCAACCCAGGGTGGCCATGGCGCGGCCCCACCGTCCGTCCCGGGTAGTCACCCCCACGATCCGGTCGATAGAGCTCCGGCCCTGGTTGAACTTGTCCAGGACCAGGTCCGCGCTCCCCGCCAAGAGGGCTTCCACGTCCACTGGGTCCAAAAAATGGCTCCAAAACGCACAGCAGGCGAAGCCGGTCTGTCCGATGAGGCCACGAATTTCCTCCGTGG